CAAGAGCATAGAAGAAAACTTTCCCAGATAGAGAAATACATAACTATGCAAATCCAAGAAGCACACAGAACACTTATTAGACAGGACCAGAAAAGAACCTCCACAAGGCATATTATAGTTCAACACTAAGCATATAGAACAAAGAGATGGTACTGAGGGCAACAAAAGAAAAAGCACGTGTAAAGGAGAAGTCAACAGAATAACAGCTGATTTCTCAATGGGAAATTTAAAAGCCAGGAAATCCTGAAGCAATATACCTCAAGTGTTGTGACACTCTGCTTTACTCAGGTCGGTGCCCAGTCCAGTCATCATTAGAGAGGCTGCTTCTGGCAGCTGATGGAAGCAAATGCAGAAACCCACAGCCTAACATTTGGAGGAAAGATAGCCCAGGTTGGATGTCTCCAATTGGTCCTCCCCACCTCCCCCCCGCCTTGGAGGTCGAGGACACCAGGAGAGCACTGTTGCAAGATCAACTAAGTAAGGCTCACTGGGGCTCACAGAGACTGAAGCAGCAATCACAGAACATACATGGGTCTATGCTAGTTCCTCTACATACATGCTGTGGTTGTAGGCTTGGTGTTTTTGTGGGACTCCAGACAGTGGGAATGGGGGTGTTTCTCTGACTCTTTTGCCTGCTCTTGAGACCTTTTCCTCCTACTGGATTTTTTTCTCCCAGCCTTGATGTGAGGGTTTGTGTCTGGTCTTACTGTATCTTGTTGTTGTGTTGGGTTGATGTCCCTGGGAGGCCTGCTCTTTTCTCAGAGGAAATGGATCAGGGAGAAGAGGAGAGCTGGGGCATTGGAAGGAGTGGGGGAAGGAGAAGTTGTAGTCAGGATGTATTGCATGAAAGAATAATAATAAAAAATAAACCATGGATGCCAACCTAGATTATTGTACCCCCAAAAATTGTCTGCCGTAGTTGAAGGAGAAAGAAAAAAAAAACTTTCCATGGTATAAGCAGCTAAAAGAATTTATGTACACCAAATGAGCTCTGCAGAAAATACTGGACTTGAGAGAGGAACTGACACAGCTAAGACACAATAGAAAGGAAACAAATATAGGTAGATGGAACTAGAAAATATGTTGAGCAAGGTCACCCAGGCCCGGAAAGGCAATGCAATGTTTTCTCTCTTATTTGTGAGTCTTAGCTCTGAATCTGTAGCTGTGAGTGAATAACCTGGTGTCACCACAAGAACTAAGAAAGCAAAAAGGAACCATATTGTGCTGAAGAAGGAGTCTAGAGAGGCAGATGGAAGGACACAAGTGCTACAAAGTGTGACACAGGAAAAATGGTGTGTGTGTGTGTGTGTGTGTGTGTGTGTGTATGTATGTGTGTGTGTGAATTAGCTGAGAAGGTGGGAGGGAGACAAAGGAAGAAAGGAGGGGGGATAAATGCACTAACAATGTTTGAAAAGCCATAGGGAAAACACCTTATGTTTGCTTAAAATGTATTATGTATTATAATGTATAATGCATTACATATATCTCTCTACATATATATATATATATATATATATATATATATATATATATATATATA